CCCCAACGTACACACAACAAAACCACAGTGGAACAAGCCGCCCTAGGAAACATGGAGCCGCCCAGGCCGGTCAGCGAAGCGGAGACAGGGCCTGGTGGGGGTGGAGTGGAGGAGAGGGGACGAGGGGCAGGTACCCAGCCTCGATCCCGCTCCAGGGAGGGAGGAGCCCCAGCTGGGAGGCCCCTTGGCCTCGGCACCCAGGTCGGCCAAGTCGGCCAATCGGGACCCGCTAGCAAAGCTCACCAAATTAGGCAAGCTGACTGCTCAGGGCGGGGCCCACGGCGGCTGGGAAGCCAAGCCCTTCCCCCAAGCCTGCCCCGCCCCGGCTCCCGCAGCCTGGGAGAGGAAGGGCAGGGCGTGTTTGTAAACACGTGGGCTCCACCCCTACACTGAAACTCAAACTGAGAAAGTCTTGGCAGGCGAACCTCAGGCCTTCCCGAGCTTTACAAAAGCTCAATGGAATTCCACAGCGGGGAGATAAACGGATGTCAACAGAGATCTTTTGTTGTGACGCTTACAGGCCCACGGAGGCTACAGCAGGTCCCAAGCCACCATCTCACACACAGGTGACCAAGGACCCCGTGGGAACTGAGGAGCCGAGGGCCCGGCCCCTCCCTGCGGTGCCTGGACCATGGTAGACAGTCTGGACTCAGTCACTCGGCAGAGGGGGCTAGGGGCTTTATAGCTACTGTCCCACCTGGTCAAAAGCCACCCACATCCCAGCCTTCACCCAGGGTCTTAACCGGCTGGCTGCTGTTTTCTGGCTGCTGATCAGTTTCTGAGACAGGGTCTCATGCTGAATTGTGCCCTCTGTGTAGCCGGGGATGGCGCACAGCTTCTGATCCTCCTGCCTCCACTTCCCCAGTGCTGGGTGGGGCTGGGATGCAGCACTGGGCCTGCCTGGTGTTACACAGTGCTGGAGATCACATCCAGGGCTTCCTGGCTAGACAAGCACTCTACCGAGCCAGCCACGGCCCCAGCCCCTCACTGCTGTCCTTACCTGGACTGTTAATGGAAGTGCTCTAGGAGGCCAGGCATGGTGGCACACTGGGAGACAGATGCAGGAGGATGGGGGCCAGTCGTGCCACACAGTACGAGCCTGCTCAGAAGCAAACAGCACTAAAAAGCAGCCTGTTCAATGCCACAGTCATGCACCCTAGCGCTGGATGTTGAACCCAGAGCCTCTGAGATGAGGTCTCGCTACGTGGGCCTGGTGTGTCTACAACACAGTATGTGGACCAGCTTGGCCTCGATGTGATCTCCGGGCTTCTGCTCCCAAGAGCTGGGATTTCGGGGGAGTGCTGCCTGGCCAAACCCTGGGCCCTTCCAGGCTAAGGAAGTGTCGTGACCTCATCCCAGGCCTCTTTTTATTACAGGCGAAGTTGCCCAGCCCAGCAGCCCAGGCTGGTCTTGAACATAAGCCCTTTCTAGCATCAAGCTTTCCAGGTTGTACCACCTGCCCCTCCCCTGAGCACCTTGGGCCTTTTCGTAGCTAAGTGATTTCTGTCCAAATAACAGGCCGCAGCTTTCTTAACCGTGGGCCATGAGTCCTGGGGATAAGTGGTAGGACATGACCGCTGGGCTGGAGGGACTCTATCAGGGACCATCGGTCTCTCACAAACATTAGTGCCTGAAACCCAGCACTTGGGAGGCTGAGGCAGGAGGATTATTACTCCAAGTTTCAGGCCAGACTGGGTTACACAGTGAGTCCTGGACCAGCCTTGCTACAGTGTGAAACCCTGTCTCAAAAGCTAAATCCGGGGCTCTGGGGGCTCAGGATTCTCAACGCTGCAGAGAAGAGCAATGAGCCCCACCTTTTGTCCTCTGACCTTCACACGCCCCTCTCAACAACCACCAAACAAACACATAAATCAGTATAATTAAGAAATGAACCAATATCAGAGCAAGTTACACAGACAGACCCTCCCCAGTGCTCTGACCACCTGTGACCCCTAAGGAGACTAGCCTTGGGGCCGCATCCAAGTTCAAGACCTGGAAGAGGATGCCTCAGGCATACGGAATCTGGGCATCAGAGCAGGGCCATTCCCGGCCTGAACGACGACACAGGCGAGAGCTGAGCACAGGGGCTGTCTGTCCACTCTCGCCCGCCTTCCCGAGGGCTCCGCTGCTGCAGGCTTCACACTCGGGGAGACAGGGTGCTGTGGGAAGCTGCTAGGATGTGGCCCGCCCAACAAGAGACACAAAGCACTGTCCACACGGCCAGGACCACGCTGGGGCTCTACGCTTGAGCTCTGTGCTTGTGAGCTCGCCGAGAGGCACAGCCTGGGAGGATGGACAGCTACTCTGGACAAGGGTGCCTGTGCACACATTTCACGGTGAGAAACAAAGCAAGTTCCCAAAGGGAAACCAAGGGTTAACTGGACTCCTACACACACACACACACACACACACACACACACACACACACACACACTTACTCCTGCTAATACTTTTAACCACCTCAGGGCTCCCCGAGGAAGAAGGGCACCCTCAGATGTGAGCCCCTGACCTGGAACCTCCAGAACCCAGAATCAAAAAAAAAACTCCTTATATATAAACTCAAAAGAGCAGTGACCTCCAGCCAGGCTCGGGGCCTGTGATTCCCAGCTGGGGACGGAGGGCAGAGGAGCAGGAGTTCCGGGCCAGCCCGAGTATCAGAGCATCAGGAAGCTTCCATGTCTAATAGGGGGTAAGGGTGTGGCTAGTGGTGAGCCCTTGCCCGGTGTAGTGGTTTAATGAGACATGTTCATGTATTTGAATGCTTGGTCCACAGTTGGTGGAAAGATTAGGAGCTGTGTCCTGCGGATGGGCGTCAAGGTTCCAGAGCCGACAACGCCCAGCCGTGGTCCCCACCTCTGCCTCTAGCCTGCGGATCTGGCTTCTGCCCCAGTGCCAGGCCTGACTGCCTGTTGCCATGCCCAATACCACGATGGTCCTGGACTCACCCTCTGAGACTGTAAGCAAGTCCCCCATTGAATATTTTCTTTATACGTTAGTGGCTTTGGTCACGGTGTCTCGTCACAGCAAAGTGTCTTAGTGTCTTAGAGTTACTATTGCTGTTACGAAACACCATGACCAAAAAGCAAGTTGGGGCAAAAAGGGTGCATCTGGCTGAAACTTCCTCCATATGTCCATTATCTAAGGAAGTCAGGACAGAAACTCAAACAGGGCTAGACCCCAGAGGCAGGAGCTGACGCAGAGGCCGTGCTGCTTGCTGGTTTGCTCTGCCTGCCTTCTTAGAGGGTCCAGGGCCGCCAGCCCCAGGGATGGCCCGGCCCACAGTGGACTAGGACTCCCCATCCCCCACTGATCACTAATTGAGAAAATGCCTTACAGCGGGATCTCATGGAGACACTTCCTCAACTGAGGCTCCTTCCTCTCTGATGGGACTCTAGCTTGTGTCCAGTTGACACAATAGCAGCCAGTACAACCGACCGCGTGTCAACACACACAAACACATCGCTATTAAGCCAACATCCTTTCTCATTCATCCTCAAGACCACATTAAAAACATAAGTTACTTTAAGAGTCCCACAGCCTTTACAAACTCAGGCACATTAAAATATTAGTCTCTTTAAAATAGCCAATCTCTCTAAAACTCCAAAGTCTCTTTTAAAAGTTCAAGGTCTTTCAAGGAGCTGTGGGCTCCTGTAAAAATCAAAATGAAATTAAATACCTTCTTCAAGAAGGAAGAACCAGGCCACAGTCACAATCAAATCAAAGCAAACAAAACTCCAACAGTGTAAATAACTCAATGTCCAATATGTGGGATTCACTCATGATCTTCTGGGCTCCTCCCATGAGCCCGCTCACTTCTCCAGCTCTGCCCTCTGCAGCACACACAGCTTGCCTTCTAGGCTCTGTGTGACTCTGGATGACTCCACCCCACCGCTGCTGTTCTTGGTGGTCATCCCACGGAAACCGCATCTCCAAAACACTGGGCTCCCTTACTGCAACCGGGCTGCACCGTCACCAGTAGCCTTTTCATCAGAGGCTCTCTTCCTGGTGCCAAGCCTCAACTTCCCTGCATGACCCCTTCAGTGCTGGGCCTTCAGCTGCCGCTAAGGCTGCACCTTCACCAATGGCCTCTCTTGGGTTCACACAGCGCCAAGCCTCAGCTGCTCTCCATGACCCCTTCTTACACTATCAAGTTCGGCAACCTCTGGAACACAGAATCTACAGACACAAAACCAGCCAGGACACCTAGTATTCGGAGAAGTCTGGGTTTGATTCCTAGCACTGGGGGGAAAAGTTTTTAAATAAGGAGCTAGCATGAAGTATCACCCTGGAGAAGGAGGTAAAACTTTGGGGACCGAGTGAGGTGCCCATAGAAGCGACCCATGCCCAGGGCTCAGGGATGGACAGCACAATCCTGGCTCCGCTGGAGACAATGGTCCCCAGAGTCCTGCCCCCAAGGAGTGTGCCACGCCTATGCCACTGTCACAAGAGTACCGGCCACTGTCTGGCATCTCTGCAGGGCTGGCCTGTGCTACAAGGCTCAGGGGCAGCATGGCCCCAGCACCTAACGGGTAGCACAGCGCCTCCAAAAGCATCACAAACACAAGAGGCAGAGAGAGGGAAGTCTGGCTCATTGAGAAACCCCTGTCAGAATCTGAACCCCGCTCCCTTCTCTATTTTGAGACTGGGTCTCACGTAGCCCAGGCTGGCCTCAAACTCATGCCTTCAGGATCACAGGCATATGCCACCACACCCAGTTTGTGAGGTACTGGGAACTGAACCCAGGACCCACACGGCACTCTTCCGAAGGGAGCTGCAGCCCAGCCTATTTGTTCTTGAGACAAGGTCTCTCTCACCAAGGGACCAGGATGTCCTTGGATGCCCATGTCAGCCCTGGCTGGCTATGCACTGAAGATCCTCCTGCCTTAGCCTTTCTTTGCAGTGCTGGGGTCACAGGATCAGGCCACACGGCAGGTGGTGACCTGGGGGTGACTCTCCCTTGCAGGCTAATCTCCCCGAGCGGGGCTGCAGCGGACGCTTACCTGATGGTGCCGGTCGGGGAAGGGATGGGGCTGACCAGGCTCCGGAGGTCCGGCTCCGGAATGTGGATCTTCAGTGGGGAGATCTGTGGGTACAGTGGCCGCAGCGGCGATGTGGGGGCCTCCTCCTTGTGGTACAAGGAAGTGAACTGGATCTTGATGGCCGTGCTCGGGAACCGGAAGGTGCATCTGTAAAGGGAGGACAGAGGCTGGTCAGGCACTGGTCACCAGGTACACGAACCCACGTGGCAGGAGCAGCTCGAGCCTGAGGCTTGTGGGGTGTCCCCGTCAGAATGGTGACCCTGGAAACAGACTCAGGCTTACTCTGGCATCAGCGATACTCTGCCTGTGAACAAAGATAGAAACACCCCCGGCAGGTACCACCCGAACCAGGACAGAGGTGGGGTCAATGACTGTGGTTCCTGGGCCCCAGGGTGGGGTGGCGGGAACAGCTAAGCCGAGCCTGACCATTTACGCACAGACCTCACTCGCTCACTGCTCCCTTGTTCATTTACCCATCTGGCAAGAAACAGCTGAAGGACCCTGGCTCACCAGGACACAGACTTCACCCATCTACTCCTCACTCATTTGAAGTCAGGGCTCACTACGGAGTCCAGACCAGCCTGGCACTTGAGGTCCTCCTGCCCTTTCCTGAGTGCCAGGACAGGCGAACACCACGACGGCCTGCTTATGCCGAGACCCTAAAGGCATAAACTAACGCCACCACACAGACGTAGGGGATGCTCCATGGACATTTAGTCAGGGTGTGTGTGTGTGTGTGTGTGTGTTCTCTAACTGCCTTCTCACTGAACTTGAGGCTTACAAGCCTTAAGCTTGGGGTGTCTACTGGGTGACACACAGATAAACGAATCTGACCCTGGAAGGCCCTGCCCTCCCCTGCCCACCCTCAAAACCACGCCACATGCTCAAACAAGGTGGGCAGCTCACCCCATCTCTAAGAAATGGGCATCACCTGCTGAGCACACCTAACATCTAACTGGTGTGCATGCGGGTGGGCGTGTGGAGGCTGGAGGCTCGTGCTGAGTGTCTCCCCTGCCACTTTCCACCTGAATTTTAACGGATTTCTTGCTGAACCTGGAGCTTGCCATTTCAGCTACACTGGCTGGTTGGCAAGCTGGGGACCTGCCTGTCTCTGTGCTCTCGCACATACGAAATAAAATACACACCCTGGAAAAAACACAGATTTGAGGCCAGCGTTAGGCACAGAATGAGTTCAGGACGGCCTGAGACACACATCTGATCCACTTCTACCCAGGTTACCGTCTCTCGGCCCAGTGACGAGTTCTGCTATTGTCAGAAACTTGGTTTGTGAGTTCAGGCATGGGGCAGCTGTGTGCGTGTGGGGTGGGCAGACGCCAACTTTGGGTGGCATTCCCCAGCTACTCCCCACCTTACGTCTCGGGATCCAGGCTTGCTTCTAGGCTAAGCTGGCCGCCAGTGAGCTCCCCAGTGCTGGGGTTACCTGGTTTTTTGGTTGTTGCTGTTTTTTGGGTATTTTGTGGTTTTGTTTGTTTTGCTGTGAGGATCAAGCTCAGGACCCCGGGCTTCTGTGGCGCATTCCTCCCCCAGCAGGCTGTCTGCCCCAGTTCCTCTGTCAGTGCCTGGACTCAGAAAATGTATCAGTCATTTCTCTAAGACCTCAAGTCTGTGTACTGTCAGCTGTGCGTGCCTGTAAGCCTTTTGTAAGCCATCTAGCACAGGACTGATGATGTCTGGGTGTGACCACACGGGCCACCTGAGGAGGGGGCCGGGCTGGGGGCTGTTGGCGGGCAAGCTGTGCTGGCTGAGTGACTTCAGACTGCCTGCGCTGAGTGAACAGGGAGCCCACGTGCACGCGTGTCCCTGTGTGTGAGCACGTGCGTACATGGTCAACCCTTGTTGTGCAGGAAGGCTGTCATGGGAACAAATGTCCTCTAGTTCTTCCACATGTGCCTCTCCTCCCTCTCCACCCACAGGGAACAGGGAGCCAACATGGGACAGCTCACTCTGCTGGGAGGGTGCAAGGATGCTCGGGATGCAGGCTGGGAGCTTCACTGTGGTCCTCTCGAAGAGCAGCAGCACGTGTCTGTTGACCTGAGCCACCTCTCCAGCCCCAACCAAGAGTCAGAGCCAGAGGTACAGCTGAGTGGCCGAGGCTACAGTCCCCCCAGCCCGAGTGGCCAGAGCGCTACCTCAGAGGCGGGAGAGCTGTGTACATGTATGTAGGCCCCGGATTCTACTTCCAGTACCACCAGGCAAAACAAAACCCAAGGTGAACTCGTGATGTCGCTGGAGACTTTCAGCAGACCAACCTTCCCTCCTCTCTCCTCCCTTCGTGCTGCTGCGGAGGTTAGGGAGGGGAGGAATGGCTGTTTCACAGCCATAAAAGTCCCGCCCATCCGTGACTGAGGCCCTCTGCTGTACCACACCCTGCTGCACTGGCAACAGGTTTGGTGATAACCATCTCTAGGTTACCTGCTGGGACAGCTCCTGCCTCACTCTTCCAAAACTCAACCCAAGGCGGCCGCCCTGTCAGCAGGAGCCGGTGAGAAAGGCGCCAGGCCAAGCTGTCTCCCCAAGGGACCCCCACTGTCTTCCATCACAGTGCTCCCGCTAAGACCTGCTCTCAGGTTCCGGGGCCTTGGCTACTATAGTCTTGGTCTCTTTTTCTGATGTTTATTTGTAGCCCAGGCTGACTTCCAACTCCTCATCCTCCCGCTTCAGGCTCCCAAGTGCCAAGAATACAGGTGTGTGCTGCTGTGCCCATCTGACCCTCCCCCACCTTTATTTATTGATTTTGAGACAAGGCCTTGCTATGAAGGACTGGCCTGGGGCTCGTGGCAATCCTCCTGTTGCAGTCTCCCAAGTTGCCGTGACTTACAGATGTGAGCCACCATAGCTGTTTGCAGTTATCTTCAAGAAGGTGTCACGCACTGCTCTGACCTTCCACTCACAATTCTGACCCCACCCTGCTGAGGTCACGATTCCGACCAGGCAGGGATTGTGGTCCCTCATGGAATCTACCATAGAGGCAGACTCTCATGCCAGCACCCACCTAGTGGGGAAATCTTGCTGTTTCGGCTTTTTTTTTTTCCATTTGTTTCTTATTCATTTATTTAATTTGTTTATTTTTAAAAACAGGGTCTCTGCTGTTTTGGGTTTCATTTGCTCGATTATTTATTTATTTATTTATTTACTTACTTACTTACTTTACTTACTTACTTATAAAAACAGGGTCTCTTTTGTGGCTGAGGCTGGTTTGGACTCAGAACAATCCTTCTGCCTCAGCCTCTTCTCTGTTGGCTTACAGGGTTATACCCCCATTCCCAGCTGAGGAGTCTCTCTAAAACATTCTTGCCTGGTGCAACATAGCTCACAGGGTAAAAAAATACACTTGCTACCAAGTCTAACCCATGACAGAGGAGAACCAACTCCTTTAAGTGGTCCTCTGACTTCTATCCATACCGTATGGCACAAAGGGATGGACACACACGCACACACACTCACTGTGAAAGCTGACTAGGGTGGGCTGGTCTGGTCGCTGGGGTGTGGCTTCTTGGGAGTGAATAGGAACTCTATTCTAGAACTAGTCACTCAACGGGGGAGATTTAAATGACTAGCTGTGTGGCTGGCAAATTATACCAAAGTTCCTGCCTAAAGGCTCGTGAGCTGCACACAGAGGCCCGCCCTGTCTGGAGGCCAGTGGCTGGGCTGCTGAGACTGGGGTGATTTCTCCCGGAGATGCGAACACTGTCCGGCATCAGGCCTCAGCTTGGTACACAGTTGGCGTGACCATCACAGCCTCAGCTGGAGCTGGGGAGGTGACTCAGAGGGAAAGGCTCTGGCATGGCAAGTGCAAGAACCCGAGTTCGAATCCCTAGAACCCTGTGTGGTACACACATGCCTGCTCTATATGCACACACAGAGAAAACAGAACAAAAGAGAGTCCGCCCCGTTTTCGGGGCAGAGCTCTCCTCTGCAGCCCAGGCACAGCTCGAGCTCTGTTCAGAATTCTTGCTTCAGCCTCTGCCCAAAGCCTGGCCACCATGTCCTTTCAACTCCATCTCTGGAAGAGGGATCTGCCATCAAGGGCGCTACCAAGTGTGGGAAGGTCAGAACGGGGTACTGCCTTGAGAAAGGTAGCTTCCTTTCAGCCTCAGGGACGCACGAGGATCACTGGCAGGCTTCCAGCACAGTTTTTAAAAAGAATCGACCATCTGTCCTCTACACAGCCGCCCGCATGCCCTCCCCTCCGTCACCAGGCCTTCACTTGGCTTAGCAGAGCCAACCCAAGGGACAGTGGGGGAGGGCGCTGGGGGGGAGACAGAGTCCTGAGCCTCTGCAGAGGGTGAGGCCATCCCACGACCACCCTCGTGTGAGGAACGTCTCGGGCTTGGAGGGGAGGCCCGTTCACTCCCCACTGGTGAGAGCAGTGCCTTGAGCACCCCACTTCTCGTGTGAACACCCCAGAGGGGCAGACTGTGGAGTAGCGCATTCCTGTCAGTGTCCCAGTACTCAGGAGGCTGAGGCAGGACGATTCAGGCTGCAGAGTAAGATCAAGGCAGACTTGGACTGCAGAGAGAAGCCAAGGTCAGCCTGGGCTAGCACAGTAAGACTCTGCCTCAAAAGACAGAAGAGCACTTAGATTCCCCTTTGTATGGTATTGCTTTTTAAAATCCAATGTGCACAAACGCTTTGCTTGAGCACATTTCTGAGCGCTACTATTTGGCTGCTGCCTCTAGAGGCATCAGATCCCCTGGAACCAAAGCTGCAGCTGGTTGTGAGCTGCCAGGTAGGTGCTGGGAACTGAACCCAGGTCCTCTGGAAGAGCAGCAAGTGCTGTTAATCTCTATGCCATCTCTCCTGCATCTAAACTGTGTTTTTCTTCTTTTTTTTTTTTTTTTTTTATTTTGTTTTGTTTTGTTCTGAGACAGAGATCTGCTATGTAGCCTTGGCTGTCCTGCTCAGAGGTCTGTCCGCCTGCCTCTCAAGTGCTGGGATTAAAGGTGTGTGCCACCATGCCTGGCCTCAAATTTTCTTTTTCAATAAGGAAAAATGTGTTAATTGACGCATGAGTTTTCTAGAGCAACTACCTGAGGAGGCCTCACAGCATAAAGCTGCCCAGCTAACAACAGCTCAGTGACTGGCAGATGAGGCTCCAGGAACTTACCCCAGACTCGCCTTGCTTG